ACCGGCCCGCCGTGACCCGGTCACTCCATCGCCGATCCAACTAAAAGAGCGCTGTTTGTACGCCGTGCGCCGTAAAACCCTCTTCTATAAAAAAAATTATTTTAAAGGCCATGATGATGATGATGATGATGATGAAGAAGAATAACTTACTGAGGGCCAGCAAGCCAGTTATCTCCCTGTGATGAAGTGTTGCTAAACCAACTGTCATAACCGTCTGGGTTTTCTGAGGACAACAGAAGTAGGTTATGTTGTAAAGAAATTGTATTACGGGCAAAAGGAACAAAACTGTACAGCAAATAAATCAAGACAGAGAGAGACTGTAGGGAGGTAAATAAACTGATGAATATTCCATGACACGATGCAAAAATAACTATCTAGGGGAAAACGGAGCCAAGATGTAGCAGTAGAAAGGCTGCAAAGAGTCAAGAGCCCAGAGGACGGGGCAAAGGAGGTGAGGGGGACGGGGCAAAGGAGGTGAGGGGGACGGGGCAAAGGAGGTGAGGGGGACGGGGCAAAGGAGGTGAGGGGGACGGGGCAAAAAAGTGGAGACAAAAGCAGATGACAGAACATTATTAGAGAGCAGGAAAAGATAAGGAGAACATTTTTAGAGAAGAAAAATTTCCGTCTCTATCCGGATTCGAACCCGGGACCAATTGAATGAGAGGCGGAGCACCTTAAACTCTAGGCCTTGAGAGCCCCCTGTATAAAGACCTAACAGCCACACAGCCAGCAGCATCCCCCGGGGCAGTGCCACTGACTGAAGTGTCTTTAGGCCATTCCCAAAGGGGGGACATTTCTCGTTCAAGCACAGTAGAATTGTAAATGGGCCGATTCATGTCACGCTCATAACTGTGCCTGATCTACAACAGGGAACTGCTGCTTTTTCTTTTTTAATCCTCACTATTATCATTTCCTCTACTTCTTTTGTATGTTTGTCACTCTCTTGTGACTTGCTATTTCCGGGGTGCCTTGATAGTCGAAGCTAGAGAGGTGAGCAGAATAAGTCTGACTCCCTGTAAAGACTTCTCTGTTGACACCCACCCCTTGGCGCTCATATGACCATATGCAGTTGCGA